TCTTATATGTTGAGGCTGGCTTTACGAGGCTATATAAGATGCTAAAACCAGTCTCATGTATGTTGAGGCTGGTTCCATGTGGCTATATATGATGCTAAAACCAGCCTCTTATATGTTGAGGCTGGCTTTACGAGGCTATATATCTGTCTCTTATACACATCTAGATGTGTATAAGAGACAGGAATAGCATTACGGGGTGTGATGTAGGTAGGAATAGCATTACGGGGAGGGGCGTGGGTAGGAATAGCATTACGGGGAGTGTCATGGGTAGGAATAACATTACGCAGGAAATGTTATCTCTTATCCCCGATAATCTCTCATTAAAATACAAGTTCAAAGCATCGCAATAAACAACAATAATGTTAAGTATTCACAGCAAAGGCCAAGCAATGTAATAACGAGCATTTAATTTGTCATGTTGTTATTGTGAAAGGCAAGCTCTGTAATTAACGAATAATGTTATTCCTACCGAAAAGGTTAAGCGAGTTAGCTTTCAGATGCCACGCTTGGGAGTGGTTATTTTGTTCGCTTTAATATCTTTAACTTCTTGAATATTTTAAATATTCATATTAAGTTATTATTTGATATGTTAGTTGTCAGTATGTGTTAGTTGTCAAAATATATGTCAGTTATTATTTTTATATATTTTTATATATAAATAAGATGAATAATGATAATATTAAGCGAAAAATGGATACGATTTCCTTGAATGATATTTTTTTCCAAATTTTTTAAAGCAAAAAAGAAAAGTGTTTTTTTTTAGATTTTCATAAAATATATTAAATGAGGCAAAGAAATAAATAATAACTAACGTCCATCATGTTCATCAGCAGAAACATGAGCAATCAGCTCGAAATGAACATGTTGAACATAAATATATGATAAATGTGATCATAAAAATGTTATTGAAGATTAAGATGAAAAGGATTCATTTCATGATTCATCTCCATGAAGAAAGTCATTTTCACGATAATGTCATTTTCACAGTCATGTCATTTTCACAATCATGTCATTTTCTCGATCATGTCATTTTCAAAATCATGTCATTTTCAC